GAATTAAATTGCATGTTTAAAAAAAACAGTATATATATATATATATATATATATATATATATAAATTGATTCAAAGTTTTCTATCTACGGAAAACCAGTTGATTGCATCGACTCATTGGCTATTCAGCAATCACACTAAGCATGTTTCTAGGGACAGAGGATACTCCCTTTTAACAAAAAGAAACCTCCAGCAGAACCAGGCTCAGTGCCGAGGCAGACTGGGGTTCAAGGAGACAGAAGCAGACATAGAGAAAGAAGCAGAGCTACAAAAGGCAACTGTAAAAGGAGGCCCTGTCCATTAAACACACAGCCAGTCAGAAGAGCTCCGAGTCAGCTGTCATGCCAGAGCATAAACAGAGCACATCCAGCTTAACAGAACGGATGTAATTAAACAGCTGATGTCTTTTAAGACATGCTGCTTTGATTTCAAGCAAATATTTTGTATTTCTCTTTGCATGACAAACTCTTGCTTGCATTTTGGAAACAGTTGACTTCAAGCTGGCCTCAAAGCCCATTTGGCTACTCAGTTAAAAAATGTGGGGTTGGTTGTATTAACAATGGTTGAAATTTGGCTCTCTTTTTTTAAAGAAAGAACAGTAAACAAAACACTCCTGTGACCATTAGGATCTTGCTCATCAAGGCTCTTATACTTTGTTTGGGTAGAATGATATATGCATGTTCATTCTATTCACAATATCCTCAATTTTTCCAGTGCTGAGATGCTCATAGCAGAAGCATGTATTTATGTTTGTTCCACAGCCATAGATTTTAAACCTCTCTGTTAATCTGTTGTTGGAGCTGGTTGTGTAGATAAAATTTGCTTTGCAGCAAGAAGGCCTGGATTTATATCTCTGACGGTGTTCTGTCAGACCAGCATACCCATAGTCAAAACCCCTTTTATCCCTTTAGTTTATCCCCCTTTATCCCTTTAGTTTTGTATGAAAAATAAACTTAAAACTACCTTATCAGGCATATATCCTTTTAGTCATGTACAAAAAACAGTTTAATTACTTACTTTTTGGTGTTTTTTGAAGCATATGACGATCTGACCTTAAGTTGTTTTTTTGTACATGACTAATGTGTTGTTTAATGTGTATTTTGCATACAAAATTAAAGGGATAAACCCAAATCTGAGATCTTGCGCATGCGTATTGACTATGGGTATGCTGGTCTGACAGGGTATGCTCATCTGACAGAACACCGGGGCTTTTCTGCATGGACTTTGCATGTTCTCGAAAAGATGCAATGCTAGAAAATTGGTTACACTGAGTTACCTTTAAGATTGGGGGCATATGCACATACTGCTCTTTGTTTGTGAGGGATTAGTGTACAGGTTTTGACACTGGACGGATGGAGGTTCTTTCCTTAAAATTAGCACAAGTGGATTCAAGTTAAATTTGATCTGAATTTGATTTCACTTCGATCAGTGAAAATCAACCACCCTGGAGTCCATTTTTAAGAGACAAATTAAAGGGTGTGTCTACTTGTAGACCTGTGTTTAATTTTTTTTCTTTTACAAATAAAAAATTCATTTGATTTTAATTTATCTTTAAAGAAAACAAGTGTTACATCATAAATCTAAAAAGTAACCCAACTTAATAAGGAAAAGGAATGTGAATAATTTATCATGTTGCTGTATGTGATCTATTCGATTGAACTTTAAATAAATCTTTTAACCTGCAGTCATTGCTCCAATCTTTGAGTGTTGGCAGACCTGGTCCACTCTGTGAGAAACAATACATATCAAGAGGCACTTCAACTAAATGATAAATGCCGGATGACCTGACGCACACTCAGTGCAGTGCCTATATTTACACACATGCTTTATGTCTTTGTTGTTTATCTAAGTGCCTGACAATTTTTTTTTGTAAACAGATCCTTAATTTTGGGGCTGGGCCACAACAAAAGGGGTCATGGACCCCAAGGCCAACAACGGGATAGCTTTTGGTAAAGAGATTTCCTGTTGTCCACTGAGGTGCCAGCGGATGCTTTTATTAGAGCCAAGTTTACATTATGCACCAGGAGGAAACTTCCCCTCCAGTTCAGCCGGGAAGCTTTTTCATGTCTGAGCTACTTGTGGCCTGTTCAAAAAAAATGCTGGCCTGTCTCACTAGGGTTCATTCTGCACAATGACCTCTCCAAGTCAGCATTGCTTATCTTAATTCAAATGACAACCTGATATTTATTGGGCAGAAACAAAAACATTCCTTCTCTTTCAACCTCTTAAAGGTTTTTAGGTCACAACCACAAAGTTTATTGCATTTTATTGGGTAACTGTGTGATAAATCAAAAACACTTAAATTTCAAAGGGAGAAGAAAACAAACAATTATTCAAAAATAATAAAGAAAAAATACATTAATCTGAAGGATTTCCATGAGTAAAGTAATTACATGATTGTCTGAGATAACTTATCGTGTGTAAATGGAAAGCAAACTGAACTGAACCGAGCTAGAAACAACCGAACCGAGCTAACTGCAGACCAGTTCCAAAGGTGGGCTCGGTTCGGTTTTTCCCTGGCTCGGTTCTCTGATAACAAGAGCACATGAGCAGAATGCGTCATCTCCGTCAGGCTGCACATCCCGATTCACACTCCATTCCTGTATATGGCGGTAATGCCCCTCCGGAAGTTGCTTACCAACCAACACAAAACAGAAGAACAACAACAACTATAAACAACAATTGAAAGCCGACATTCTCAAGTAAATCCACGAAAGGTTGCCGTCTTCGCCTGCCCCACCGCAAACACGGAAGTACAGCAATAATAATCAAGCAAAACTTTCAGAATGTGACGGGCGCTGACATTTTGATTTGCTTTATTCCCTTTTTCTTCGTCTTCTTCTTCTTGTGTTTTATGGCAGTTGGCAAACAACTTTTGGTGCATCACCGCCACCAACTGCTTGATTTCCTCCTTCAATACCGGCAGTAATACTGCAGATCGTCACTAGGAGTCGAGGAACCGAGATAGCATGATGTGTAAACGGTCGTCAGAACCAAGCTCGGCATGATTAACTGATCCGAGCTCGGACCGGTCTCGGCATAGATCGGTTTTTCAAGGGTAGTGTAAATGGGGTAGTAGTGTAGTCATTGCTCATTTTATACTTATTCTAATAATAGAATAGATGTGCCATTTGTCATATAGGCTTTGGAAATTCCTCAGAAAGGTATTATTTTCGAATCCAATAAATGTGATAATAATCCACTTCTCCTTGGTGACGCTTTTGAATATGTCTCTCTGATTATTTTGAAACTTGCAGACGGTCGCTAAAAGCATTTGCATTCATTAACCCAGCGCGATAGGAGACTCGTTTTTAGGAAACTACGGTTGTAGCTCACTGCCTGCCTTGCTATGGTTGTGGAGAGGTGTCTGTTTTGTAGAATAAATCATCCACCGACGAATTATTAATCCTCACACTGTATGGCTAATCACAGGGTTTAGTCGTAAAGTGTTCACAGCTCACAATGTATGTTCGGCTCGACGTTCTGATACGATCTACCTGCTCACACTGCACGACTAAAAACTACATCGGACTCAGCTCCACAGTGAGATGGAGCTGCTCTGACTCGTCTATCCAGAAACCAAACAAATAGAAGAGGAATATAAAGCTTAATATGGGGAAACACCCTGCCTTGGCAATTTGTGCAATTTTGTGCTGAAAGCCCTAAAAAGAAAAGGCGACAACGTATTTGGAAAAAAGACATGGCTGAGCAAATGTGGCTACTGTGGTCTGTCAATTTTACAGACAGAACTGCATTTCACTCATTGCATCCTTCCCTAATGCTGTGTTTACATTTGAGAGGAAGAATAAAAAGCAGAATCCTTGTTTGCGCATGCACCCTGAGCGATCTGCCCACGATGGTTGGGTAAATACCAAACATGTTTGATTTTCTCCCGACCTCACGATTCCTGATCGGGAGGTGGTCGTGAGAGGCTGATATCCGCTCGTAACCCCCTGTACATTACACGACTCACGACGCATGATCAGGTTGAAAGTCGGGCAGATCGAAAAATTCTCGCTCGACTGAAAAATATCGCACAGCTTAACCAGTGGCAGCTGTGGCTACAATGTAGCTTACCACCATCAGTGTGTGAGTGTGTGTGTGAATGGGTGAATGAATGTAGTGTAAAGCGCTTTGGTCAGGTCTCCTAACTTGAATAAAGGCGCTATATAAGTACATGCCATTTACCATTTGACCATTTGATACCCTGTCCAAAAACTGTTTCTCTATATTTGACACCCAGTGCAATAACTATATATATAAATATGAATATCTAACACCCTCTGCAATAACCTGGTATAATGATCCTATTATAAAAAAAAAAACATATATGGATGCACTGTATATACTG